ATGATGAACTCTATCACATATCAAAAATTCAGCGAATTTGACCGGGACCCAATTTCCATAAGATTTGTGCGGGGTCCTTTAAGGGTTCTACATTTTTTTAGCTCAATTTAAACAATGGATCCTTATTCCTCATCTCAAAAACTACACAAAAATGTTTTGTATCATTAAAAAAAATTTTTTTTTCAAACGAGAGCAAATAATGGAAATTTTTTTCCAAAATTATAATTTTGGGGATCAATTTTGAGGGTGTAAATGGGGTGCTGGTGAAATGTGATTATTTTTCCCTTAATCTGTTCCACTTAAGCTTTAAAACGCTATTTTTAGTTTTTTTTTTATCTTTTTTCTAGGAGGCGCTATTTAATTTTGTCCATACCTAAGTCCAAATGAATTATAGTGCGCCACTTGCGAGCACGCAAATTCGCCTTTCCGTTGCCAAAACCGAAGGTGCCCCGTCGCCGTCGCCGTGGGACTCGCCAACGGCTCCGAGCGCTCGCCCTCCGGATATTAGAGGCTGTTAGCGGTCCGCGCATAGCGCATAATCAATGACCGTTACGCCGCCGACCCGCCGACCAGATTAATTCACTGGAACTGGTCCAGCATCTCGCATCCCGCATCTCGACGGACAGCCGGCCGGCCCGCCGAGGTCTAGAACGGTCACCGAGGGGTCTTCTGGCAACCGGTTATCGTGCGAAATTATACGCCGCCGACCGGCTCGCCTCTCTTCGGATGATCCGCTGCCGTTTTTACTCTCGGCGCGCTTAATTGCCGATAATTGATCGGGGCCGGCTTGGGCCTAGAACGTTAGACGGAATTGCGCCGCGCTAGGCAGGGACGGCGGGACGAGGATAAATCCCGTCTTGTAAAATTTGAAGGGTTCAGACGTGGTAATTTTCCATAAACCTCAATTTTTTTTTACGAATCGGCGACAAATATGTTAGAACATTAAAAAGCACAATCGCCACATAGTTGGGGAATATATGGACTGTGACCATATCTTTTTTCAGAAAAAAAAGTACAAAATTTAGAGAAATAAAACAAATGCAAAAATATTGTATAAACGCAAATTATGATTGGATAAAACTGTCTTATTTCCATTGAAAATAAATAAATAAAATAACTAACCATAATTTACAGTAGAACCTCGATAATCCGAACTAATTGGGACCGGGGGTGGTTCGGACTATCGAATCGTTCGGATTGCCAACTAAAGTGCTTTCCAGGCATAGTAGCATGCAAAAAATGAACACTGACATACTATTTCCCATAAAATAAGGAGCACGTTGTATTGTTAAAGGTACAAAATAGTTTGTTTTATGAAATACATACTACTACTGTGCTACAGTAAGGTAACTATATTTTATGTAAAGTATTGCACATGAATTTCGTAATATTTGCTATTGATGCTCTGTTTACTGTAGCAGTTAGAGAGCGATTCTGATTACATACTATTTTTATTTTTCCCAAAACGGCGTTCGGATTATCGAGCGTTCGGATTACAGGGGTTCGGATTATCGAGGTTCTACTGTATAACTAAACTAACAAATCATATTTTTTTTTGTACCGAAAAAATAAAATAAATTATTCTAAGCATTACAAAAATTTGTGCATAAGCATAAGTGGTTTATGAGAAATATAACGAATCCGTATCTCCCACGTGTTAATTCTTTAAACATTGAAAATTAATTTATAAAAAACGAAATGGTAAATCGATTTAAAATTTAAATATGTTATTCGGAACTGCTTTAAGTATTGAACTAAAAATTTGCATACGTGTCTTAAGTCTAGATTTTATCCGAAGGAACTACCTTAAACAGTAAACATCACCTGTAACTTTCCACGGAGTGTAATATGAATATACAGAGATGCCGACTCGACTATCAATATTAGTATAGTCGGCAGGTCTTTCTATAGTTTGCAATTAGATAGAAATGAAACATAAAAACATTTAACTCATAAATTCTACGGAATCCATAGACGTCCAGAAAAATTTTGCCCTGTATCGTCTAGATATACTAACGAGCGTTCAAATAAAAACGTGGTCAAGTTGGTTCTGAAAATTTGGACGTAGGGCGTAGCGTATAGCAAATGAACTTAAACGTCGTCTGTCAAAGCGCTAGATCGCCGCTATCAATTTGAATATTTTCGTTTTAAAAAGCGTTTAATATGGTGTTTTCTCAAGAACAAAAAGTGTTTATCATAGTCCTACTTTAGAAATGGATGCAAGATTGATGGAATATGGAAGTATTCTATTGAGGAATGTTTCATAGAATTTCAAAATCAATTTCCCGGCGTTGTTGAGTACAAAATTTTTCAAAGTGCAGTTCAGCGTTGTGTTAATGTTTTTCGTGAAACGGGCAGTGTAACAAGAAAAGAAGGAAGCGGCCGACCTAAAAAGCGGACTGAAGAATTAAAAGAAAATGTCCAACAAATAATGGAAAATGCGCCAAGAACTTCTGTACGTGTTTTATCACAAATGGTGGGAGTATCAGTCGGTACCTGCCACACAGTG